GAGGTGGTCGCCAATTATAGACCGGTGGCAAACATCCTGTTTTTGGGCAAGGTGCTAGAATGGGTGGTGGCGGGACAACTCCAGGCACTGTTGGATGAAACTGATTATGTGGACCCATTTCAGTCCGGCTTCAGACCTGGGTACGGTACTGAATCTGCCTTAGTCGCCCTGTACGATGACCTGTGCAGGGAGAGAGATGGGGAGGGCATCCCTGTTGGTTCTCCTGGACCTCTCAGCGGCTTTCGATATCATTGACCATGGTATTCTTCTGGATAGGCTAGCGGGATTGGGAGTTGGAGGCACCACTTTGTGGTGGTTCCGCTCCTATCTCAATGGCCGATTCCAGAAGGTGGTGCTGAGGGACTATGGCTCTGTCCCATGGCAGTTATGCCATGGAGTTCCGCAGGGATCCATTTTATCCCCCTTGCTATTTAACATCTACATGAAACCGCTGGGAGAGGTCATTAGGAGGTGTGGGCTGCGGAATTATCAGTACGCTGATGATACCCAGCTCCACCTCTCATTCTCCACCAATCCAGGTGAGGCAGTGGCTGTACTGAACCAGTGCCTGGCCAAGGTAATGGGCTGGATGAGGGCCAATAAACTGAAGCTCAATCCAGACAAGATGGAGGTCCTGTTGGTGGGTGGCTCGGGATTTGGGTGGGGGACTTGGGCCTTGTCCTAAATGGGGTTGCACTCCCTCTGAGGGACAGGGTTCTCAGCTTGGGAGTGCTTCTCGATCCTGAGCTGTCATTAGAAGCTCAGGTGACGGCGGTGGCTAGGAGCACCTTTATTCAGCTCTGGCTGATCCATCAGCTGCGTCCCTATCTGGAGAACGATTGCCTGGCGACAGTGAATCACGCGTTGGTAACTTCCCGACTAGACTTTTCTAATGCGCTCTACGTGGGGCTACCCTTGAAGATGATCCAGATACTTCAATTGGTGCAGAATAGAGCTGCCAGCTTGCTGACAGTGACTGGGCGTTGTTCTCATATAACCCCAGTTCTCTGTCAGCTTCACTGGCTCGCTGTTGAAGTCTGGGCCCAATTCAAGGTGTTGGTTATGACCTATAAAGCCCTTAACAGCTTGGGACCTGGTTATCTGAAGGAACGTCTGCGTCCATATATGCCCTCCCGCCCCCTACAATTGGCAGCGGATGCCCTTTTCTGGGAACCCTCCGTGAAAGATATTAGGAAGATGAGTACCTGGAGGAGGGCCTTCTCTGCGTTGGTGCCCAATCTATGGAATGCACTCCCCAGAGAGGTCCGCCTGGCACCGTCCTTATTTGCTTTTCGGTGCTAGGCAAAGACCTTTTTATTTAAAAGTTATTTTAACTGTTAATTTATTATTATTGTATTTATAGATTTTAATGTATATAGCTGAGATGGTACCAGTTTTTAAATTATTAATTGTATCTTTTTATGAATGTTGTGAGTCGTCCCGAGGCTTTGTTGCGATGGGGGTGGCATAGAAATGTTTTAAATAAATAAACCGGAGCAAGCTCCAATAGTGGCAGAGGAAATGATCAGAAAAGGTGATAATGATCACCATGTGGCTGTTTTTTCTAGGCTTATAGTGCACTTGATAACGAGCTGATAATTTTTAGGAACACAGTGATGGGACCCATAATGCTAACACCATTTTAGGTTGCCTTGAAGCATTGTAGACAAAGCAACATTGCAGGGAAGGTATAGGATGTGGAAGTACATTAGAAATGCCTTGCTGGATTAGACTGAAGAACTCGGTGGGCCAGTCTTCCATCTTCAAAAGGTTCCAGTCAGGTGCAGAGCTTTATTTATTTAAATTCATATTTGAATATCTTCCCCATCTTTAAGCCCCAGGAGCCGCCCAAGGCATCTTTCAAACATCATTTTAAAACAGCACAATCTGCTTGTTAAATCCATTAGAAAGATTGGATTGGATTTCCTTACTGTTTCTTGACAGCATCTTGAAGTCAGAGACATATTTCTGCTATGCTGTAGTGGGCATTTATTTTGCCTTTCATCCTCCAGAAATCTTGTGTTGCAGATCTTTCATTCTGAGGGAGCCATATAATTTTAACTCCTTTTCCTCCGGTGATGATTGGTTTCAAACTGGACCCTATATGGTCTACCATCTGATTTTCAAAGTGCCATATAGCTGAGCACTGCTATTGCCAATTCCATTTCTCAGCATTTTGCAGTCTTTCAGTCTTTTAGCCTGCGAGTACCAGTTTAGCCTATGGCCTCCAGACACTCAGGGGTATGGAGAGAGTGCATTTGGGGTGTACATCTTATAATTGAAAAGCACTGTGGTATTTCAAGGGCTTATCATTAAGAATGGCCAAACTTGCCTTCTTGGCAGCTGGGAAATGTACAAGCTGTTCCTCTGCATTCCTTGGGTAAAGTCCAGTTTAAAGCCATAAATACTATAATTTGGAGCATTAAATTGCTACATTTTACCTCTTTTGGATTTTTCATCATTGGAGGGAGAACTACACCTGGGCATAACAACAGACAAAGGTTTATGCACCACAGCAGGAGCAGCAGCTCTAACAGTGCCCGATAATAGTCTTCCATAAAAGTGCCCGATAAAAGTCTTCCGTGGTCTTCCATGTCTATATACTAAAGCCTGGGGTATGGGAGGCAACTCGAACTCTTAATACAGGAGGGTGAATACAACCTGAGTTGGTGGCATGGCTGGGATTTCAACAATTGAAGGCTATAACCTGTTCAAGAAGAACAGAAAGGGAGACAGAGTTGCACTGTATGTTAAAAATACATATCTCTGCTCAGAAATAGAGGAAGATGAGCTTAGTAGCCCCATCAGAGCATCTGGATTCATATAAATGGAGCAAGGAATAAAAGGAACACAGTGGTGGGAATCTACTACTGATCACCCAGTCAAGAAGAGGATGAAACTTTTGAAAGCAAATTGCCAGTGTTTCTTGGAGGCAGGATGCCATTTTTGTAGCATCTGTTGGGAGACATCTGTTGGGAGACAGATTCTGCAAAACAAGGCCCTTTCAAGAGATTCCTAACATGTGTTGTTGATAACTTCCTCCAACAAAAAGTGGAGGAAGGAACAAGAGGAACAGATATCCTTGACTTGATATTAACCAACAGGGAAGACCTAGAGGACAATGTGGCAGCTATAGGAACTCGGTGGGAAAGAGACCATGCCATACTCGAATTCTTGATTCTAAATTAAGCAAAAGCCAAATGTAACCAAATGTGTAGCCTGGATTTCAAGAAAGCCAATTTTAATAAACCCAGAACAATGTTAAGTAAAGTGCCATGGCAAGTGATTCTAATGAGAAAAGGAATCCAAGACAGTTGGAATTTTTAAAAAAGGAAATTTTAAAGGCAAAATTACAAACAATTATAACAAGGAAAAGGGGTATAATGCAACAGAAGAAGCCCACATGGCTTCACAAAAAGGATAATGATTATCTGAAAGCAAAAAAGGACATGTATAGGAAGTGGAAAGAAAGCCAGGCTACAAAGGAAGAACATAGGCAGGTAGGCCCCTTCCAACTCTACTATTCTATGATTCTGAGATTGATATTATTGCAGTTATTCTGCTCTGAGAAGTCTCTGTTAGCTGATATGGCAGAATTCTGCTGGCTCTCTGTCCTCTCAAACTCTCTTCAGCAGGGGTGTCCAGGGAAATCTTGAAGGGATGAAGCAGATGTGGGCAATGGGCACTGGCAATCAATTGAACCCGGGCAGCTGCAGAGTTTCAAAACTCTCCTAGTGGCCACTTTGTGCAACTTTTGTCAGGCAAAGCTCTGACAGCTGTGTGTGTCCAGGAAAGGAAAGGAAAGGAAAGGAAAGGAAAGGAAAGGAAAGGAAAGGAAAGGGTCAATTTAGACAGAGGAGTGGTATAGGGAGTAGTATTTGACCCTTTATCTGCTGTTTTCCTAGTGGAGATGGAAAAATCAGCCCATGAGGTCCTGGAAAAATCAGATCTGGAACCTCACAGGTCATGAGGTCCTGGAAAAATCAGATCTGGAACCTCACAGGCCATGAATGGCCCCAGTGGTCTGCATTGCTGGGCACCCGTCAAAGCCTTCACCAATTCAGAGGGCTCACTGTGGATCCTTCATGCCTCCTGGTTCTGCTGCCACTCCCCCTTACCTTGACTGCTGTTCACTTGCTATTCCAAGCTGGCAAGCAGTAAGGAACCAGAGCAGTACCCTCCATTGCTCATGGTCTGCCTATAGGCAAACTGGACCTGGAGGGAGAAGACTAGTGAAGGGATAGCCCTGGAAGTTGTGATGAAGGAAGGCTGGGAGGCAGCTCAGAGAAGAAGCTCCTCTGAGGTCTCTCTCTCAGCAGCTCCATAAAACCTGCAGCTGGTGCTATCACAGGGGGTAGTTGCCTCAAGATCATTTGAAGTATTTATCACATTTCTGGTATTGTTCTGTGCTCTGAATTGACCTTTCCAGAAATCACATTTTGTTTCCCTTAAAAAAAATTACCAGACTTGAGCAATTATAATAATGCAGGCCTGTATGTGGATGTGCTGGTGCTGGTGCTGGTATAAGTTGTGGCACATAGCCCTGAGGTGGGGTGGGCAGGGATAAGGGAGCAGGCATGGGACTCACCTCCCCTTGACTGACTCCCTCAGCTGTGATGTCAGCCGTGCCTTCAGATAGTAGAACTGTGATCACTGGAGAGGGAAGTGGGTGAAGTGGTAGCCCTTGCTGTCTCCACCGCTACGGTTCTCTTGGATCCAGCATGTCGCTGCTGAACATTTGCCTTGGCACCTTTCCTTGCATGTCTGAGTAGTTAATTCAAGTCTGCCAAACCAACCAACCCACAAACCTACCCAGACACACATCCCTCTCTTGGGCTCCTGGATGCCTTCTTAATTTTTCAGTTTCAGAGCTGTGTACCTGAGGAATGTCTTCCTGCAATGTCCTTGTTAGAAGGAAACGAGTGAAATCTTCCTTTCTGTACAGCTGTTAAATAGCAACTGGTGACATTCTCCCTTCCGTACAAACTCTCTTTCTGCAGCCCCATTCTAAGATCTTACGAAGAACACGAGGCTGTGTATAGGACAATGAAACTAATTCCTGATATCAGTGAGCAGCTTTCAGATGCAGAGATGAGGCAGCTCAGTACAACTGTCATACGGGAATACTGGGTGAAAGGAAGTACAGGTAGGATAACACTCACTTGTTGTAATATTTGTTAACACTCTGCCGTACAAACAGCTTGCTTTTTGCATAAGACCTTCCCAATCTGGTGTCCTCCAGGGTGATAAATCCACCGTACTGAGAAAGGCTGCTGTAAATGCTGCCGTCAATGCACATTTTGCATGCACTGCTAGGTTCTGGATAACATATCAAAACTCTTTTTTCTACTGTCAGCAATTGCAAGAAACATTTTCACATCAGACTTAAATGTGCTAGGTCACTCCTTTCTCCAATACCTTTTATTGAAATGTCCATCAGATTGACATACATGACATTTCTGAATCTGTCAAAAAGTTACTTTCCTTCTTCCTGTTCCCAAACTGAACAGAACTGTCATCTTGCTAGGACAATGCATGTGACAGCTGTTTACTGGGAAGTGCAGTGTGCAGATATGGTGTGTCTAGAATCTATGGTGCACTTTCTGTCTTAGAAGGGAATTATTTTTCCTATTAATACCTTATCTGCTTTCATGTATCCTCTATCCATTCCTTCTTCAAATCTCTCCTCACCACCCCTCTCTCCTGGTTACCAACAAAAACTATGCAACAAAAACTACACACCTACTTCACAGGGTTGTGGTTGTAAGGATAAAATGGAGCTATGAAAGCTGCCCTGGGTTCGTCACAAGCATTAAAAAGGCAGGATGGAAATGCATTGTGGTGGTGATAATACGCAGGTATTTGCCCTTTCCCTTTGTCACACTCTCTCCCTGTTGTTCCCCTGGGACCAATGATCTGCCTAGGTTTCTTATATTACTGTGTAAAGCACAGTGTACATCAGTGGCATAGTAACAACATTCTGCTTTGCTTTGTGCATTGTCAAGTCACCAGAACATTAAATGCCAATACTTGAGCCTTATTGTGAAATATAATAAAGGGTTCATCTTTCTTAATTTCTTATCATGAGAGCAATTAAGTTTAGCTGCTATAGATAAAGGAAGACTGTAAAAGATAAAGAATTGGAGAAAAGACTGGCACTTATGAATCATCTAAAAGGAAGAAATGTATAATATAAAAGAAGGGAAAAGAGAATGCCTGTTTGCATAATTTTTGCATATGCTAATCTATATGTATACATGCAAGTGCAGAACAGATAGTAGTAGTTATTGTCTAGTATATTGTTCAGGTGCTGTTGATGATTAACCAAATAGCTCTTCTTTTTTTAAATGAAATTGTATATGCGTAGGATCATCCAAATGGAAGTTGCCTTCAGACAGGACATCCCTTTCAGAGGGGGGCTGTCATTCATAAACAAAAAGAAAGAAAGAAGAGAAAAGAAAGGACACATAACCACTCCATTGAAGAAACTTAATTGTAGCAGCCAAACTATATGTACAGCATTGGAACTGATAGTTGACTTTATCCATGTTCCACTACCAATTCTGAAGCCCACAATCCTTTCTACCACTCTGACAAGGACATTCATGGTCCTTCTGTAAAGTCTGTGACGTCCACTGTGGTTTGTATGTCAACATTTCTAAGTCCAGGTTTCTGTCAGTTAGCAAGGATTATGTTGCTCCCACGGATGGGCTGTCACATCACATTAACCTGGACCAATTCTTGCAAGGTGGCTTGTTTGAGTTAGCCTGACAATCCATGTACTTTTGTAGGGGTTGTTGTACCCACATTGCATTTTCATGTCATGCAAACTTGGGTGAGCAAAACAAATGGCAACAGAGGCAAAACCTCCTTCTTGCCCTTGCCAAGTTTGCCTGGGCATCTGCCATCTCCCACATGTGCTCAAACATGATTGTGAGCTGTTTTTGGCTTGTTTGTTTGGAATGATTTCATTTGTTTGTTATTTACCTTTTTTGGGAGGTGGGGAGTAAAATCTGGTTTTCATGATCCCTGTTTTTAGAGGGCAACTGGTGGTTTTTTTGACAGGGGCATATACAGCTTGGGCACTTTGAAGATGCTGTCAGTGGCTGTCAAAATGGAGATTTCACAATCTCAAAAGAGAGAGAGAGAGAGAGAGAGAGAGAGAGAGAGAGAGAGAGCTGTAACAAACAGAAAATGGCTCTGGGAAGACTGAGGAGGATACAAAGGGAGTGAGGTGGTGAACAACCCACAGTAAGCCCAGTTATTTGTTGGGTGCATCATGGATTGTTGACAGACAAACCAACCCACCATAGCTTATTTCCAGGTTGGGTTGGTGTGATGTGGGAATGTGCCCTTCTACCAGTAATCTCAATCCCTTGGAAATGTCCATTTTGAAGAGGTAACATTGTGCTGATCTTTTACATTATAGAAACAAGTCACCTAAAGTGAATATAGTAAATGAAGGACATGTTATTAATAGACAGACAAAATTGTAATCTAAGCAGGCAGAAACTACATTAGCATAAATTATGTTGAGATAATACAAAGGACAATTTTAAGGTCAAAGCTTATGACTCTGGTGATAGTGATGAAAACTGGCATCTTGCTTGGCTGAGTGTAAATTTGGGGAAACAAAATGACTCTGTCCAAATCTCCTTTGGTATCTTGGGCACTGGAGCAGTCGAGTTATGTTGAATTAGGTGCTCTGTTCATTTAATATACATTCAGTTAAAGCTGGTGTGGTAGCAGAGAAAGTGGTCTAAAATTGAGCTCCAATGTGTGCATGAGATAAAAGCTAATCTTAATGACTCAGACTGTAACATTTTGCCTTTCAAGGGAGGGGGGAAACTGCTTTGCATCAATGTGCAATCTTTTCCAGTTCTTTGAACCTGGTTAAGCAATATTTTCAATCTCATCTGATTTGGCAAGCTAAAAATAAATACAAAATTGATTTTTTTGCTAAGTAAAACTGACTTGATAGGAATAATACATGCTTGATGAGTCTTTAATCTCCCAAGATCATTTTACAGACAGAGCTTCAGGAAAACCAAGTGTATGAAAAAATGGAGTTATGTAGTTGTGTAATAAGGGGGTTTTTTTAAATCCTAATTTAATTCTCAGATATCTTTTTAAAAAATGCTAACAACAGTATTTTTATCATTTATTTTGAGATTCAGAGAAAGGAACTTGTATGCCTTAAACCAAATATACCTTAATGCAGTCTTCCCCCAATTTGGTATCCAGATACTTTGGGTCTCAAAAGATGACTGATCAGTCCCAGTCATCTGGTCAATAGTCAGAAATGCTACAAATTGTTGTCCAAAACTTCTGGACAGCACCAGCTTTGCGAAAGTTGCCCTAATGTCATAGTAGGCAGTTCAACATTGGGTCTACAGTAAATCAGTCCTTCAACATTTCACAGATGGAACCGGGAACATGCTTCTAGCACCTCTGTTATCCTGCTTCCTTCCCTCCCACATCATGCATTATTCCATAGGCTCTGTGCTTATCCATTTTCTCTGCAGTCCTCTGTTGGTTTAACAACCAGAAACATATTTGTTGTTTAGGATAAAGATGTAGCGGGACAGAGCCCAACTTCACCCTCCCTGCCTCCCTCTATCTTTCTCTCTCTCTCTCTGTAGAATTTGTCAACAACCAGTCAAAATGGTCTTGATAGACAGACTGTGATGCCCAAGAGGATCCCGCAAAAGGAACAAAAATGGGCATAGATCTACATAAATATGCCTGTGATTGTTTATATGTAGAAATGCCAACTTAGCAATAATTGCTATAATTAAAATAGAAATGGAAGCTAGTGACCAGGTGACCTGTGTGCCTGCTGAGTCATGGTCCAGGTGCACACTGATGCTGGGCCAGTTCAAATTTCCAGCAGCAGCAGCTAGGGAAATGTATAGTCTCCTTTTCAAAATGAGTGTGTGCTTTTCATGGGATGTTCCAGAAGGGATAAATTGGCCCCCAGGCTACATGAAGTTGCCTACATCCGATTTTGATGTTGGTGCCACCAAGTTCAAGCATATGTACGTTCTTATTTTGGAAATGAGACAATTTCAAGGGAAAATTACATCAAAATATGTTTCATAATTACTGGTGTAGATTTATTATGTTTTTTATGTTGGCTTCATGCTGCAGACTGTCAATTTTGTTTTCTGTAATATGCTGATCAAATACAATTTGTTCTTAATGTAATTTTTAATTTTAATTCCAGTGGATGCAAGCCAAGGGCTTTATGCAATTCTCAAAGGCTCCGCTAGACCACAGTCAAAGTTTTACAAAAAAATGGTTGGAGGAAACTTTGTTTTAGCACACAGGCAGAGCTCAACCACCAGCGCCTCTAGATTGTCCCGGTCATCATTGTGCTCAATCATGGTGAGTTATAACAAAGGCACTGCCATTAAAGAAGTAATACTATTAGTAAGAAGGCCAAGTGGATGTTTATAACTTTCCTTTGTCATACACAAGAGGTAAAAAATGGAGGGACTATAGAAAAGAAATGTACAAAATCTTTTTTTAAAAGTCTAAAATGCCATTGCAACTTAGTAATGGGGTTTTTTTCTTTTTAAATTTCCCTCTTAGCAGATGTGCTTTCATGTGTTATTCTGGTAAAATATGAAACTTGCAATTCTTCACAAAGTTGGCTTGCTTAAATTCTGTCAGCTCCAATAGGATTTAAACAGCCTTGCATGCACAGTCAAGGTGAATAACTGCTTGTAAGGAGTAAGGGATGTACCCACCAGTGAAATAGAGAGTACCGGAATGGATTCCTCCTTTCACATAAAGAGTTTTGGATGTCCCCCACCCCCCACCCCATCTGCTCTGTAGACTTGAGAAAACCTCTGGAGTACATTTCACAGATCCACAAGGAGTACAGACAGTGGGAGAAAGGAAAGCCCCATTATCCCTGTGTAATTCTGTTCCTACAGCACTGGATATAGTCTGATGGCTACAGTGTTAAGCCTTTGTGTATAAAAACTAGCCTGCTAGAGATTAAAAATAAAATGAAATTCAGCATTAAAAAGCTGGATCAGAAAAGGTTTTTTTTCCCTTTTCCAGAAATCCAGAATTGATCTTGAACCCCAAATCTTTCAGTTGCCTTGAACCTCAACAGGAACAACAGGAACAACAAAACAGACATCAGTTCCAAATAAATGATACATTAATGAGGGAGTAAGTTTTGGGGGGTTTAACAAAAGTCTTTCCATGTCTCCTTTTCCTGAGAGGCAGACAAAAAGACTATAGCCCTAGTCAAATTGGGAGGATATTAGCAACACCTGAACTTCTGCCACCCAGAGATATGTATCTGTTTGGGACTACTGGGTGCAGTTTTATAAATAAAATAAACAAGAAATAAATAAATCTCCCCACCCTTAAGCTACTCTGAATAACCCATCAAACTTAAGCTACTCTGAATAACCCATTACAAGTTCACGTGGCACTTAATGCTGAGTTAGTGTGCTGTGTGAACAGCATGCCACAGTAAGTGCTATTAGATCTTATTGGGTTGAGGTGCAGAGTTAGAACAATTGTTGTTGATCTTTTTCTCAATGTACATTTATAAACATCACAGTCTTCATCAAAGTTCAGGAGATGAACATGATAATTTTCTTGCCTTTTGGCAAGAATAGGGCCTTCCCAGTTGCAACACCTCAGTCATGGGACTCTATCCAGAGAGGTTTGGCTGGTCCTTTCTTTGATGGGCTTGTACTTGCTATGCTTGGAAGTCCAGTATCAAGGCTGAGCTAGAAGCTGCTCTCAGAGGTAAGCCAGGCATGGTGGTGCAGTTAGGTAATGGATGTTTTTACATCCTCGCCTCTTTAGAGGGTGCTGTATATATGTTACTTCACTCACTTCAAAATGTGGGAAGCCATACATGCTTGCATTTGGGAACCTCCACTGTCCATTCTGCTGGTTGAGGCCTTGGATGCCTGTCCCCAAGTCCTGCTCTAATGGGAGCAGGACTGACTGGGAGGTCAGAAACATGACTCAGACAGGAGCCAGTTCTGAGGACTGCCTACAAACGCATGATATCCAGAACATAAAATCCCCTATCCCTGTATCTATTATTTAGGGCCCTGAGTGCCCATTCATGACAGTAAAACTAATTTTAAGGGCAACTGTAGCTGTAGAGGGTTAGCCCCCTGTAAAATTCTTGAAATTCCATCTTGGTGCCATCACTGCCACTTTGAAATACATGTGAATTTTTAATAGAGACCTTATTTATCACCCTCTGTATGGACATTCTTTGATGCCATTGCACATTTGGTTGGAATTGGGTGAGGTGGAAATTAATGGATGATGCTGTTTTATTTGAGGGGATTTGATTATGAAATTAATTGGCAGGCTGAAATTAATTAGCTGGATTTACCTTCTGTGAAATTTAAGTAAACATTGGCCATTATTTCTAAACCTCCATCCATAGAGGCAAATTAACAAATGTAACCTTTATGCAGATTTGGGTTCTGTGAGCTTGGGCTTCAGAGAGCTTAAGTGCCCAGCGGTGCCCATTCAGGCTAGTATGATCAACGCAGACTGGATGGCTTCTTGAAATAATTGCCCTATAGTCAGTTTGCCATCGCAGCCTGCTATCCCGTTGCCATTCCGGACACAATATACCTTAGAGTGATTTGTTTGCTTTGTTTTCCCAAAATATATTTCCCAAATATATTGAAACAACCTTATTTCAGCTGAAGCTGTTGAATAGAATAATGCATAGTTGGATGACTTGTTTATGCAGCATAATCCAAGGGAGGGGAATTTCTTCCTGCTTAAAGGCCAAAATCAAATCTGAAGCAGCTCTTGGGTCCTGCATTTAAGGGGTGAACAGAGCCAAAGGAAAAAGAATGGGCCCAAAGTACAAAAACTAGCAGTACAGGTTAGCTTAAAGCTCTCACTACCAATAAATAAGCTTTAGGAGAGTCATTTTTTTGTTTTAGAATGTGGGAAGGATTAAAAAGCTGAGAAATCAGCAATGATTGGTGGTTGCGATAAAGTGGACTGGGACAGATTTCAATCACAGGAGGGGTGGATTTAGACTCTGTCCCTGAGATAATTCACCCTCTGACATATCTGCATAGAAAGGCCCTGTTTCTATAGAGCTAAATGGTTGAGTAGGCAGTTTCTATAGTAAGAATCCAAAGGGGTTGACCATTCTATGACTTGAGAATCTAAACAAGTGACATAATGACATTGTCTAAACTTTGAGGACTGGTTTGATACTTGAGAAAATACAAGAGCATGGTGGAAACTGTACAGGAAATGAAGATTTCTGTGTCAGGCTTTTGAGTCTTGTGTAATGCAAAAGTGGGGATCACTTTCCTTCCTTCTGCAAGCTGAATTGTTCTGATTGGCATGAAGCGGTTGGAGGAGGTTGTTTGATTTTTGTGTGGCTAGAATTGTCACTTACAATCACTGACAATAAGCTTCCAGCGACCAGCTGGAATTGGTGCCACAAGGCTTACCTTGAAAACTATTGTGTCTCATACAAGGTCTCATCCAAACAAAACATTGAATGGATTCTGAATGCCTCTGGGATGCAGGAGCAAATGGTTCACAAAGACGCTGTCTTTCAGAATTCCTTGTGCGAGGTTGCCAGAATAAAATAGTCAACCTTGGGCAAGAATGGCAGGGAGAGAAGATTAATTCTCCTTTATTCTTTCTGTCTAAATTGGATCTGTCTTACAGATTGCCAGAGGTGTGTCAGAGCTGTTTTCTGAAAAGAGAGAGAAAAGCCAATTTTGAATGTGTTATTTGGTGACAGCTTTAGCTGAAGTTTTTGTCACTGTAGGCAAAGTATAACATTAGTTAGCCAATCCAGCCATGGTATACTGCATTTAATTGTTGAAATGAGATGGCTATTGTTCTGGGCATTTTTTTAAAAAATGCAAACACATTCAGCATTGGCAGAACTTGTTGAGAGGAAATTATCTTTGATAACTGCTAAGTGAAAGCAGCAACTTTCACTCATGCAAACAAATGAATGCACAGTTTCCAGGCACTTACTTTAGATTAGCTGTTTAAGCAGTACCTAGGAAGTTTCTGTAATTTCCACCTCTTAAAACATGCAAAAAAAGAAGAAAAGGGCCAAAATGCCTACTTGTCCATTCAGATATTTTTGCTTTGTCAGTCTGTTCCTTATTGCATAAGGAAAGAGGCATTTTTGTTTGTTCAAAAAGGAGAACCAACAGCAACAGAAGAAATGCCTATGCCAAAATTGTCCGAGTGCTGTAACAACCTATAGTGATCTCTTGAAGAACTTGCAACCTCTGAAACGTAGGCTTCCAGAATGGAAATGCAGAAAGCTACTTAAAAGAGGGTGGTGAAAACTAGGTTTCATATGGAAACATACTTGACAGAGCCTTTTATATAACAAACAATTTCCTTCCCTTACCATTTCTATGTATGCACTGTTTATATGCCATTCAATGTTTGCCAGACTTTGCTGGTCTGCAGGACACCAGGTTGGTATGTCTTCCCCCCCCTCATACAGTCCTCCTGGTAAATGAGAATTCTGCATCATGTATGATTTTTATTATTATTATTTTAGTATTATAGGGTTTTTTGCAGCATTCTATAGCCAAATCTTCCTAGGCAGTTTACAACAGTTCATCAAACAGGCAATACAATAAAATTTCATAAAACTTTTCAAAATAGAAAAAAATAAAAACAATTTGCAAACAGCTGAAACAACATATGGAGTAGACCTGTAAACACCTGGGACTGTTATACGCCTCGAGCCATCAGGCCTCTTTGAATATCTTAAATTGTCTTGGCATTAGAGAACTTCTTAACACGGTGCAGAAAGAATTATGCTTATCACCTTGTAACCAAAGGTGGACTAAACAAATTAAATCAAAAAATGAATAAATAAGAGGATCTCATCAAAGGAACTTTTTAAAACCTGCAGGCCAATATTAAAAGAGGAACTTACAACAAGCCCCGTTGGTGACTGAAGATGATACTGGAGGCTTGCAACACAGGGCCAAACCAATGCATTCAAAAAAATCAGAACCCTGATGTGGACACCTCCAGGATCCCCTCAAGATGCAGTGCTATAGAAAGAAGTCTACAGTTCCCAGCATTACCCAGCCAGGCCTGCTGCCTGGAGGCTTTTATTTTTTTGCTCAATACATGCATAGGATTGTGCCCATAGCCTGAATGCCAGATGTGATATGTTTGGTTTCACAGTCCTTGAGCTATAGCTCTGCCAGACCCATCCATTTTAATATAATTTAAGAAGTTATTATTATGGCTTCTATAATATAGAAGATTCTTGCCCATATATTTCTCAGGATGGATTTTGCCTTTTTCAAAACAACAAAACACTGAAACAACATTTTTATTGAGCCATTTACCACACCCCAAAATCTTCCCTGGTCAGTCAGTGCTAGCTCAACCCCACTGGCTACATGTGAAGTTTGATTTCTGCAGGCTCTCTTGCCAGGAAGCTTTATGGTGTTTCCATACCATGAATGGTAAAACAGCAATTCCAGGTCTAGATAACTGGAGGAGTCATGATGAAGCATGAAAACCTTAGTCCAGATAATTTATTCTCTCCTTGGTTTTGGAAAACTAATCCTCTCATGCAGGAACTTTGGAACTGGGTCGGAACAGTGAGATTTTGCCATGGCTTCTCATGTCATGTAACCCCACCCATTATATATAAACACAATACATCCTAATAACTTTTTTCTCTTTGTGCTATTTATATTTACTATGTACATTAATTGAATGGCTACATGTGTAAGATAAAGCCAAATTGAGGGGAAAAGGAGAGAAAAATACTTCTTGACAAATATTATAAGTGAGTTAGGCATAGAGAGAATAACAATAAAACCTGAACATAAATTCATTACTAAAAGAGAGTACATAAAACAGCTTTTGAATGAACCCAGCATTGTAAACACCAACAACATTTGCATTATGAAAGTTTGTGAAATTTACAATGCATACAACTTTGACTGTATGGAAAATGCATACAGAGGTCAGCTGTACAGTATTTTCTAGGGAAGTCATAGAAGGCAGCTCAGTTGGTTACAGTGGATTTGGTCTGAGCTCATCCTGGGATTATTTTCTCCTTGTGGGGTTCTGTGATGCAGTCTGGAAATGTGTAGTGGGCATAAAGGAATTCTCCTGATCTCCATTTGCTCTCCCATCTGATGCTTTCCCTCCTAAATTTCCTCTCCTGGTACCTCCATGAGACTCTTGGTTCCAGGGAGGAAGCAGGCAGGAGGACGGTGGTTCCTGCTGGTTGCACATGTCCCCATGGATGATCCTGGGATTTAGTGGGTACAAGGATGTGATTCATCCTTTTACTCATTAGCCTCATGTTGTTTGTTGCTTGGTCTAAAAGGACTTTGGATGAATTCTCACAGTATTGGCTTCAGTGTCAGGAATAAGTTCCTGTGATTTCCCTTTCCAGTAGTAGGTGAGCACTCCTAACAGATGACCAGAGTTTCTCATATGTGCTGAGTACTAAGTATGCCCACTGAATTATTTGGGTTAAATTGACTGATTCCCCCTTAAAGATGAAGCCAAATTTTGCCATCAGAATTATTGATGTATTGAATCTCCATCAGCCCAAGGACTGAATTCCATGGGTAGATGGGGCCAAAGGCAAAAAAGGACAGGGTCAACATTACAAAAAGGGACAGCACATTTTGCCTTAAAGCTCTCCTGCTGGTAATTAAGCCTTAGGAATAATTTAGAATTGAAAAAAAACCTGTACAGAAGTCAGGAAACCACCAAACCATTTGTGGTTGAGGACCACCATTCTTTTGTGGCATGATTGGCTGGGCAACCCCAGAGAACTGAATTAGGTCTCAGGAACTGAGGATTTGTAACTGGGCATTACATAGATGCCATCCAGGTTGAAGTGGATGCAGAACAATATTATCATAAGGTATAACAAATTGCTCTTTAGCATTCTGTTAGTCTCCTACAATAGATGCAATGGGGGGATAATATTTACAGAGGCATACATTCTCAGGTACACACTTACAGATTAGAGAAATAATTTTGCATTTAGAGTTTGCAAACTGTCCAGATGATGTTCCTTTTCCCACCATGGTCCCAACAAATATGGTCTCTGAAGCTGCTATGAAATTCTGGAGCAAAGCTCCTGTTAGTGCCAATAGAAATTGCCTTCCAAATAACAGGTCAAGGGAGCAACTTTTGTTTGGACTTGGGGGGGGGGGAGGTTAACACCCCCCCTCCTGCCACCAAGTGCAATTCTAATCCTGCTCACGTCCTTCATAGTAGCTATTAAGTTCTTTTCCAGTTATCACTGTAAATTTTACCTCAACAAAACAATATAAAACATATGTAAATATACAAATAAAAGTATTTGTATATTTGTGATATGTAAATATGCAGATAAATAGATATGTAAATATACAAATGAAAGTATACATCCAGATGTATAGATTATACATAAGCTTCAACAAAGGCAGCCAGATATTCCTATGTCCACATAGAATGACAGCTGTATGTCATCTGCTCAGATATTGAAAGTGCCATTAAGTCTTCAATCCACTGCTCTACAGGAGGTGAAACTTTATCTTTCCAGTGTAGTAGTGTCAATCTTTGAGCTGTCAAAAGGGCACAGAAAGCCTATTTACATTGACCAAGCTTTAATATCCAAGAAACACAGTTTGAAAGGGCATATACCTCAGATTTTAAACAACATGTTAAGGGTGCAGTCCTATGGCTTCCTGACATACTCTGGGAGGCTATATGATTTTCACGAGTCCCAGCTCTAAGATCTTAGGATCTCACAGGTGGGAATCCAAAGGCCAAGCTCCTCTGCCCCCTCACAGCCATTGGGAAAGAACCACTCCAGCTGCTCCTTCCCCAAGGTTCATGCTGGGCCTTTGAAGGGATAACACAGAAACATGTTTGGGGACAGGGAGAAGATGCTGGAGCTACTGAGTTACTCCAATTGCAGTTGGCTTGCCAGTCTTCTTCCCTCACAGTCTCCAGAACTAAAGCTAAATACCTCCCCCAAGCCCACCTCTCTTACTTCACTGCTACCATTAGATGTTTATACCCCTCTGTGTTTTGGGGCTTATGAAGATCTGCCATGGGGGAGATAGGAGTGTGTCCTAACTGATTTAGTACACTTAAGGCACAATCCTGTGCCAGTTTAGATGGGTGGGGAGGAGCCCTTCAACAATTCCCAGCCTTCTCAGCCAGCCATGTGGAGCCATGGGGGAGGTATTGGGACTGGCAGTACCATTAGTTTGATATAGCCTCCTTTTAGCTGATGACTTTAATTTCTATGTCACACTGAGCTTTAGTATAAATGTTGTCAGGGTGGCTGAAACACAAAATGCTAAAAGAGGTGTGATAACAATGCTCCTGTTGTGGATTTGGTAGAAGAAGGCATTATAAAACATATCACAGCTTCTGGTTGTCCCAAAATACCCATGACAAATAATCATTATTGTATTTTAAGTTCTGGGTAAAATATATAAACTATCCTTAGTGGCTATTAGGTTGAATGCTCAGGATATCTGAGAATGTTTCGCTTGCAATATATAGCAACAGGAAGAAAAGGTACTGATAATGTTTAGGTTGTATCATTATTCAGCTCAGTTCAGGAGGCCCTTCTATGAGAGCAACCCCTCAGGGAGGTGAGAGGGGCGGCAACCAGGCAAAGGGCCTTTTCCGCTGCTGCTACTCCTTCCTTAGGGAAATTTGCCTGGCACTGTCTTTATTTCTTTTCAGCACCAGGTGAGGGCATACCATTTTAGATTTTTTTTTAACACTTAGCCCCTGAATGTTGTGGACCTTTTTTATACTGTTCCTATAGATGTTTTAATTTGTGAGTGTTTTAGTAGGTTTTAAACAAGTGTTATTATGTTTTAATATGTTTAATGTATTGTAAGCTGCCTAGGAAGGCCTCGGCAGTTATAGGTGGCCTACAAATATATGTATAAATAAATAATTAATTTTAAGTATCTTACAAAAGTAATAGGAAAGCATGGTTGAATGTAACTCAGTTTGTATGCCATTATTTTGGAAGCTTCGTATAGGATGTTGCTTCGGGACTTTGGAACCACTCCCTGCAGGGATGCAACAAGATGTACTAACAGTTGTTACAGATGATAACTGTGACTTTCTCAAAATTCCCTCTACAGATTACTTAAGAGTAAAAGCGGTAAGTATTTTTTTAAATCTTAAGGTATATCTGGCAAAACACAAAATGTATCATCCTTTTTAAAATAAATTATGCCATTTTGTTTGAGTTGCTGCCCTTCATAGCTTCGTGTCTTGTTTTAAGTACCTGCAATACAGGCTTGCTTTGGGGCTATATATCTAAAGTAAACATGGAAAGAATCCTGATAGCAACTCACCAAAGTGGACAAAGTCCAGCTGCCATTTGTTAGCTTGCCATGTGGTAGACAACCTCCCTCAACTATTTCACATCCACAAAGGAAGGAAAAATAGGATGCCGTTCATGGCTGTTGGGCTACATATGGATTGATGGGTCAAGTTGTGCAAGACTTCAGGGAATGAAATGTGAACACACTTTATATTTATCATATTGCTTTGAGCTCAGTTTTCATGTTTATTTTACAAAGCACCTAAAATTCTGTAGCCACTATACAAAGAACTTTTGACCACCCTAACAGTGGTAAGTTTGAGAGCAAAAATGGCTGTGGAAAGGCCTGGGAGGAATGGTTGGTGCTAGATTTAGTTCTGCCCGAATGGACCTCTGCTTTGGAGAATGTTGAGGTCAATTTGGAAGGGCCGGGTGTGGTGATGCTGAAATTCATTTATTTCAAGGCATACATTTTTGAAATGTGTGCTATTACCAAATAAGAATATGCCAGAGATTCACTTAGTCTAGCTTTATTTCTCCTTGGGATCTACCTGGAGGGGAATTTGTACTTGCTGGGGCAGAATTCAGTGTGTGATCAGAAAATCCATACATGCATTCCGCACAACAAAATAAAGGCATTCAACAAGATGTACACATTTGATAAATATACAAAGCAATGTATAAAATTCCAAAATGCAGAGAAACACACTTAGTCAATGGGTGTCTGCCTCCATATTGTACATTATTGTATGCATTACAATAAAGTAGACACATTTCTATATGGAGTTAAAACATAAATAAATGGAACAGAGCAAGCAAACCTCAAAAGCAGCCAGTCTCATCAAACTCAACAGATCTATCCATCCATCCCTGTCACTATATTGAACATAGTCATTTAATTGAGTAATAGACTAGAGGAGTACGTTTTGAATCCATGTATTATTTATTTTAGCATTTCTTGTTTACTCTATAGTACAGAGTGTTCCGCCACAATTGGCTGTTGGTGAGCATGCATAGCCACATGTGTGGCTTTGAGCAGACATGAATGAGCAATCTGGAAAAATGAAACATAAACATGTACCTCTCTTTCTTTCCAAATATGGGCTTATCCTGTATATCATTATGTAAATCCAGTGCTTTTTTTGTAAGAAAAATGGTGCCGGAACTCATGAAATTATTACCTTTCACATGTAGTCAATCACTGTACACACACCCACACATGTCACTTGTGTAATGAAACATAACGGTCGCTGCCTGCAGTAAGCTCTCAGTGTGCGACCACACGACCAATCACAAGCCGAGCAACACCATCACAACCAGCGCAGACGAAGTACGCATTCATTGGATTCAACACACAAGCAGCCCACATGCACCGTTTTAATGATTTTGCTGCCAACCTGCTAGGCTCAACAGGGCGATTCAAATCCACGTGGACCAAACATCAACTTTTCAAAAGTTACTTTTAAAACTTGGAAAATCTGTTGAAAAAAGGGCGCCGGAACTCCGTTCCAGTGCGTTCTATGATTAAAAAAAGCACTCTGTAAATCCAAAATTTGATCTAGTTGTACCATTAAGCCAATCTAAATCCAAAAGCCTAAATATGTATTTGTAGCATCAAGCATGCAATTAAGCACTAGATGACCATTTACACTTAAGAAACGTATTATTTTTCTATTTTTAAAATGCTTTTTTTAGCCATAACCTGAAAATATAAAAAAAAATCTCATTGCAAATGATGCAGACACTCGGCATAATCATATGTATATCAACTTAGAAGTAAGTTGCACAGTGTTCAAAGAGGCACTAAACTGGTACAACAAGTATGCAACCTTATGCATGCTTAAATGGAAAAAAGTCCCACAGCTACCAGCATCCCCAGCAACCATGGGAATTACATGATATTTTATATGATTTAATTGTATGATTTAGAAATATCTGGAAAGTCAGCAGCATTTATTTATGAGTATACATGCATAGGATTGTGCTTAAATTGTTGCCTTTATTGTTTGCTTGCTTGTTTGTTGGGGATAGCAGCATTTTCAGTGTTATTAGAATGAATTTTCTGTTTTTCCAGCTGTATGCTCAATTGTATCTTTGTCCAGCAATTTAAACTACAGGACATTTTTTAATTTCCAGGACTGAGGTGTTAAAACCTGATAATGCCTGAAAGCTAAATGCTCTGTAAAGAGTACAAGATTGTCTACTGTGAGTGGGAACCAAATCTTGTTAATCTCAGATTGGAACTACATCTCCTTTAAGGCTTCTTTTTGTTGCTTCACAACTCAGACACTTTTGATTAGCTAAGTGACAGCATCTACTTCAAAAGATCAGTGAGCCCTTTGTTGAGACTGACAGAATTGACTTGGAGATTAATTTATGCTGCAAACACAGTGTATTAAAAATAATTGAATATTCTCATTTAAGAAAAAATGAGATCATTTTCTTTTTAACAAATTAAAATGAGCAAACAAGGAGTTAACTATAGTTCTCAATTTATCAATATATCAGAAGCTTAGCTACACATCCATGAGATAGAAGCTCATTAATCAAACAACAATCTCTTCATATACTTAGTGGCAAATGTGAATTATCCAGCTGCTTAGAGCAATGGTTAGCTGGAGCATCAGCAGGCCTTCATGTAGCTAACAAGGTATCAGGTCTTGTGTGCACATTCACCTGCTGTCACATTAGGAAATATATGGTGCCCAGGCACGTGCGCACCAAAATATATGCTATGAACTGTTTGCTAAAGCTCTGTTCTGGCATTCTAGATCTTAATATAGTAAAGGCATAAGAAAGGGTAGCATGCTAACTCCACTCTTCTCCTCATTCATTTCTGTTGTCCTCTAATCATGGAGGATGACTTTCTGAAAAGGAGAACTTCATGTATCTCGTGGGGCTGCTCTCATGGAAGCTGACATTGACCATAGACTCAGCCTACTGAAGAATAGCTAATTTAAAACTCCATTTTAAAAGGTAGCAGTTGGATGCAAACTTGTTGGTTGACATGTGATATGGCCATCAGCCCCTGTAAAGACTTGGATGCACCTGAAGATCATAGGCTATCATGTCCTGGAAAAAATTCTAAAGTATGGTATGAGCTGAAAGACATATGTAAACCATAGACATTCGTAAACAAATACAAGGGGTCTACACAGACAATCATGAAACATACATTCATCAGCACAGAATAATTGAAACTGTTTTGTGATTGTTCAGGATGATACAAGCATCATACATTCAGGGTATTGAGCAATATCTACAATTAGCAAGACAGTAATGGAGTAGTTAAGTAAATCATCAGATCTAATCATGACACTGCATCCCTTCTCTTACATAATGAAACCAGGAACTACATGAGTAATAGTCAAGAACATCATGCCAGGACATGCGTCAGAAACCCTGCACCATCAGAAATCAGAAATGCATTCCTTATTGTTCCTAAATATAATTATCCATAATTCATGTCACATTCAGTCTAAATAATTTTATTCCTATTCAAATTGTATATTATGTTCTAACTGTAGAGTAAATTAGCTGCACTGTGGTAAAACCCATACTAAATATGAGCTTCACAATGGTTTACAGTTCTTAGCACCTCTATGGATTGTGCCTTTTTCCTCATTATATTTGTTTCCTTTTCCTTTCTTTATGAATATATTATTTATTGCTCCTCTTGAGCATGGTATTCTTGAGCATGAAACTGTCTTTCAGGACATAGCAAAGCGTGAGCATCTTGCCAAAGAAGAATTAATCTGTGGCTCTCCATTTTATCAGGACTGGCCTATGGTATTTATATTTCAGCTGACTGCTCACTTAAAGTGGAGGAAGTTTCCAGTAGACCATGGTGAGTGTCACTGACATCAGCTTTGCGATCTTGGCTTTTGTGTGTGGAAATCAAGGGAAACCCAGCCTGTCCCAGTTCAGACCTAGATCTGTGTTAGGGTTAGGGCTTGATATGAAATGTGGAACCAAGCACCTAGGCAAGGCTTTCATTGTGCAATTTCCTTGCCTAATTGATGGAATTGCCACCATCTTTCCCTGTTCTCAATGCACGCCAGTTGTAAAGGGCAATAGTCTGTACTGGAGGGCCTCCCATTCACTGTGCAGTCTCCCCAAACATGTCAGAACCTTCATTTCCCAGGGTCTCTGATCCTTGCATAATGCTGGTTTTTGAGGAACCTTTGGCAAGATACCTTCAATGTGCTGCTTCCCATAGTTAATCTACCTTTTTTTCTGCCATTGCCACCAGCAGCTACATCTCTTCCACCTCTTCTTTATCATTGCTTGTCAGCCTGGGAACAAGTAGGCAGTGCTTCTCCTCACTACCACCGTTGTCTAGGGTAGAGCAGATGAATAAGCGAGTTGCAATGGAGAAGAGGAAGAACAACTTCAGAGGACCCTTGTTAGTAAGCCGCCCCGAGGTTTCGGCAAGGGGCGGCATAGAAATGTTATAATAATAATAATAATAATAATAATAATAATAATAATAATCTGGTGTGTAGGACCTCAGCAGATGCCTAGCAATCCCCCCCTTTGATGCTATATACATTTCAAATCCTCAGGAGGAATCAGTAAATGAAGCATGTAATGTGATGACATGTCAATCTTTCTAGGAGTTGAACATTATGAGCAGAGGGAGAGGAATTGGATGGGAGAGCTGCCATTTTTACTTTGTGAATACATATAGGATGTAGCATTTTATTATCATGAAGGAATACTTCCACTGAGTTATTGAATTATTATTGAATTATTCCTGTAGACTATGCTTTATTCATTATTTTATCCTTATAAAAACCTTATAATACCATTTTAATGAACTGGTTCATACTAGAATGAATTAATGGGTAATCTGGGCTGCAAAAGAAAAGCAACAACTTTATCAAACTCTTTTGATTAATTAATTGTTTTTAAATGCTCATTATTCCTTTCTTTGCCATGAGTGGTGAACAATTTGATTATCTGATTGTGCCACAGCATGTATCTCCGTACTTAGTATTAGCTCATAAAAGAGGTAAAAAAACCTAACTAAATACCATATATCATCTGTCGCATAATCTCATTAGAAATCCATTTTCCTTTTCTGTTAGTTTGTTTTGGTTTGGTTTGTATGATTTATATAATTACTCTTTTGGCTGATCTTATTGAGATCATGATTTTCAACTGCTTCCATTAAGTGCTGGAACACAGATTTGTAGGAATAAGCAATTTTTGGTTCAGACAGGTACTATAAATTGATGTCTCTCGGTTCTGCAGAATTTCGTAGTAGTTTACAATGACAATCTATTATGTGTACAGTGAGGATCGGAAGCTGCTGTGCTGGCTCTTCCATTACCTTTCTGAACACGCAGAGTCAAATAAAAACAATATGAAGTAACCAAAGAGTATATTTTGTTCCTGTGAGGAATTGCAATGGAAAGCAGGCTCAAGAAATACTCTTGTGTCGGCATGGGGAGCAGAAGTTGGTAAATGGACTTGGCTGGAAGATGTTGGGAACTGTTGTCTTTTTTTCCCCTTTCTGAACATGCATAGGATTAGGCAGAAAATCTTAACTTGTCTGCACCATTAAGACTCCGCCTCTCCTTTTCTCTCCCAAAGAATAATGCATGAATCAACTAATAAGTAGCTGCAACAATCATCTCCCTTCCTGCTTCAGTTTATGCTTGAAAATAGTTAGCCCCAACTTGGTACCCTCCAGATGTGCTCTAAAACAGCCCACCTGATCCAGTCTCCTCACTGGGCTACCCAACAGGGGATGTTGGGCACTGTAGTCCAACACACCCACAGAGCATCAGGATGGCAGGAAGGCTTCTCTAAAAAGTAACTCAAGGAAATACAGAATTCAGATACCCTTTTCAGTGCAATTGTAGGTTGGGCCAAACCAATGCTGTATGGGTAAAGAAGGGTTTGTTTCATGTAGGGATGTGTCTTGGGCTTATGTGCTTCTCCCTATTCCTTCTTTAGCCCCTTAGGGACTTAGGTATTTGCCTCCAACTTCACATTTAGGCTAATTTTCAGAATTAACAACTTCCTGAACTTAGAAATTGCATCTTCACACCCTTGTGATTATTGAGGTTCCTATTCCCCAGCATCTGATTTTTAAAATAATAAAATTCTACATTTTTCTTTTCACTTTTGTGTATCTGTCTTCCAGTTAAGTTATCTTTCTGCAGTGGATTTAACTTTTCACATGTAACCTGTAATTCTCTAATGGGGTGGGCGATTGGTGGCCCTCCAGCCCTTGTTGGAGTGCATCACCCAGAATCCATGCTGGCTAAGGCTGATGTGTGTTGCACTTTGACAACATTTAGAGGGCCCTGACCATAAGAGCACAATCCTATACATTTATCTGCTCAGAAGTAGAAATCCCAAGTGGGTATTGCAAACCTATGGTTCCTGGGAGGACATTCTGGGGGCTTTAGGGTATAATTGATCTCCCCCATCAAGTGTGGAGGGTGTGGTTCATCCTCAAAGGGGACAATCAGACTTCACGCATAGACTTCACTAGCAATGAAACCACAGGTGGAAGGTCCTTTACTGGAGTGGACACAAATATGGTGTTGTAATATGTTCCTTTCAGGTATATGGGGGTATGGAGTGGGGAAACATACACTGTGATATGCCATGTAGATCTTTCAGACAGCTTCTTAAAATATTTTCTCCAATGAGTTTGTTGCAGACAGGATTTTGTTGCCCCTCTTGGAAATTTACACACCCGTCTTGTAATATTTAAGAACAGGTGTTTGCCACATGGTCATGGTTTACATTTTTTTCTTCCTGTTCTCATGTGTGTGTGAGAACACTTCCATGGAGGCATCCATTATACAGCATTATGTACCTTTAATTGGTAAAAATGCTTTGGGAGGAAAGGTGCTGCATAACTATAAAATATTACTGCACCTCACTCTGCTTAATTGGGACAGATGCTGTATTGTAAATCTCCCAGGAAGCTGGTTTAACCTAATGATAGCTGACTGTTTATGGCTGATTCTTAAGGGGCCTGTATTAGCATAAACTGTGAATAATACAAATTGATTTAC